AACCACCTCCCAGGGAAGCCCATTCCACACCCTCGGGGTCCTGACTGTCAGGAAGTGCTTCCTGGCATCCAAATGGAACCTTGGCTCCCTGAGCTTTGCTCCGTTGGAGCGCGTTCTGCCTTAATAAGAGTTAATAAGAGAGATCCTCAAAAATGCAGGGCTGGATGGTTCCCTGTGAATCAGTGTGATTGATATTTAAATTCTTCTGAATTCCATTACTACATCTAACTTTGAGTATTAATTCATAGAAATCTTGAATTTATTTTGACTAATCTGCCACTGCTACAGAATCCTCTGCTGCTATTACAATAGACTTGCTGGGAATCTGTTCCTTTCTTGTACTTTTGCATATTTGATCCTTGATGGTTTTGTACTGTGATACCCATGCTGGAACATACTCCTAAGTCTTCTCTCGTGCCACTAACTACAGCCACTTAGTGTACAGCTCTAAGACAGTAGCATCTGGTCAAATTGCCTTCTGCACATGTTGGACATTGCACAATGATGTGGGAAACCCTCCTAAGTGGCTGCTGGTCACTTTTTTGCCATTAGTATGGAGCACCAGAACACAAGCCAACTTGAGAGGACATCTGCCTGTCTTTGACAGGAGGAATTCATTCTTCATGTAGCTGTTGAGTATAATGTCTTGATGTGAAGACCCAGCAATAGTATTCATGACTGGACATAGCCAGTGTTGGAGCTGGGCTTACACAGGTCATTCAGCATCTGCCATCCTTGACAATTGCCAAGGCCATAGCAGATGCAGCACTGAAACTTGCACTGGGCCACCTTATATGTTTTTCTGGACTGGCATTAGTCACCATTTAAACCATCTAAAATTCCCCTAATGTGGCATCACTCTGGGTCATTATGGCAAATTCACAGTGATGCCTATATCTTTTTACCTGGTGCTGTGTAAAATACTGTTGCAGTTCCCTATGTGAAAATTAAATGTCACAGGATGTATAATCCAATGGTCATTCTATTTAGATTAGATCCACTGCCTTAGGTTAGACTAACCTTGGCTATTACTCTATGATTGGCACACATGGACCCCAATTTCTAACTAATTAAAATGTTTTAATAAATAAAAAATAAATAAAGCTGTTTGCTCTTTAAAGCATTATACTGTATAGTGGAGTGACAGTACAACTTGCTCAGTTTGCTGTTTATATTTTGGACAGACACACCTTGATATACTTAAGCTCATAGTACTTGCAAATAGAGCTCCCTTTTGAAAAGGGCCTATACAGTACTGCTGAGCTTAAATACGAGTTACCCATGCTAAGCAGAATATTCTTCTCATCAGCTGCTGGATTAATTTGCAAGATGTGACACAGACAGAGAAGTGGGAAACATGTCTTACCGGATATAAAGTTTGTGACCACATCCTTACAAGGCAGTGTGGCCTAATGTAATGAACAAAGCTTGGGGAGGGTGTGGTAGGAAGAGACCTGAGACAGAGGTCCTTCTTGTTTTTGCTGTTGGCTTTGTTGTACAGTCTGAGGCAAGCCCATTAGTTGTTTGAGCTGAGGTTGCATTATGGTATCCACTTGATGGCTTGACTTTGTTAAAAGACTCAGATATGATCCTGCGAAGATCTTCCTTGAGATTTACTATGGATGAAATGGGGAAGGAGGGAACTTTTCATAGGCCATCTGAGAATGCTTCAGGATTGGGTAATATGCCTGTTTATGTTGGAAATGTAGGAGGAGATTAGGGGCACTTTCAGATGAAGTTCTCCTTGTGCAGCTTTCCTCCTTTTTTGACGCAATTTTACAGGGGACTGGGAAAATGTCATTTTTAATTTGGAAACCTGCACACTTCCCTACTGCAGCTTCAGTCTTTTTTATTTATGCTCATGCACACACATGCAAACTATTCAGAAATGAGTAGTGTCTTTTGATTGGTAGCAGAAGCAGCTGCCGCCTCCATCTGAAACAATGGTTCTGTGTAAGTTTGCAAATCAGGGTTTTGAGATAATTCTGCTTGGGTCTAGCCATAGTTCTAAAGAGGAAATAATAATAAAGTAGGATAAAGCAAACCAAGAGGTGGGAGAGCAAACAGCAAATTACAGCTACTTGCAAGGCTGTGGAACATTCCCAATGTGTCCGTTCCCATGAGCAGTGTGATGACATGATTTGACATAGAGAATAATATGCAAATGTGTGAGGCTTGTGCTGAATATATCTAGTGAATATCTTTATTACTTCTTGTCCAATCTGGCTGACACTAAAATAGATGAGGGTAAGCTAGTATGTCATAATGGCAGGAGATTGGGAAGCCATAAAACTTAACCTTCAGTGCAGGGTTGTTCTGAATTTTAAAAAAAGAGGCAAATCATGCTGTCTTGAGCATCTTTCATAAAATGTGGGACATAAATAAAATGTATGTCTGTTGAGATTACAATGTGGAGGACTTCTATAGAGAGGTTTCCTACTGGCAGATGCCTCATCTCCATCATTTTGCCCTCTTGCTGACCTTTCCTTTGGTGCTGGTATTTGACTGGAGCTTTCTCTGACTTTCCTCTTGCTATTTCTCGACTTGCCTTAAATTTCCCTCTCTGAAGACTGGTCCAGCATTTCTTATTTGCACTCTGTCATATGCATCAGTCTTCCACGAGTCCCTAGGATGGTCACTAACACATTGCCAAAAGGAGAACACAATGTGCATAACACTGACATGTTCTATTTTATATATAGTTGCACATTTAGAAATAACATTTAGAATTTTCATTTAAATATAATTTAAATGAAAATACATCTCATCATGGTAAAGATTGACCAGGTGCCTTTCCAGATGTCAATTGTTGATGGGAAGCTCATTTTCTTTGTGATTCTGACCCCAGACTAGATTCAAAGTGGACAACTCTTCAAATGGAGGACACTGTCAAGTAAGACCTGTCCTCTGTAAAATAGGATGGCTACTTACCCTCGGACCAACACAGCTAACTTTCTGTTTTGTACATAGTAATGAACGACACCTGCTTTCTTTCAAGATACAAACCACACCAGTCACCTTTCATTACAGCATCAAAACCAAAACAGGGGAGAGGTCTGCCTAGTCTTTTTAAAACACCTTGATCCTTAATCTTACTTTGACCGTGTGTGTTCTGTCTCTTTAAGGCATTCTCCTTCGCACATGGAATGTTGGCTGTGTTCCTGGTAAATACACACCCTGGCCTCTGCCCTGAGTAAACAGGCACATAACTTATAGCTGCTCACATTCTTGAATTATTTAACATTTATCTGCTATTTCCCGCTGGTTCATAGGCACTTTGCTGTTGCAGTTCTATCATTATCATTATCTTTATTGCGGCATACTCTTTTGAAAGACTTTCCTTCTGTTTTCCTTATCATTCCCGAGGAATGTGCTTCTACAGAAAGCTTGATCCTCACAAAGCACAATACAGAAGAAGCACACAGATTTTCCTCTTTTTCCTCAAGGTTGAGCACTATCGATAGACTTGAAGAATTAAAGAAAATACCATCATTACTATGGCCCATTGGTCTTGGTTGCTGGCTCATGGCATGCGACCTCTCCTGTCCTTTCTTAAACTCTCAGTCTTTCCTGAAATGGCTTCAAATGATATCTGTAGTATCTGTTGTTCACACAAGTGCTAGGTACTGAATATAGTGAGAGTGATGTTAAGCTGAAAAGGCAAACTCATTTCAGAGGCAGCTGGGGGGCCTTTCACCAGGTGTCTTACAGCAATTCAAAGATTATTTATCTGTAACTGATCCTTTTTATGAACCACAAGAGTAGCAAAAAAGCAAAACTAATTTTGTCAATGTGGCATTTCTCAATCTTGCTGGGATCAGTGATGGTGGTGGGTAAGCAGGAAATGCAATAAGGAAGAACTCACCAAAGAGGAAAGTACTGTTTACAACTACTGTTGAGGTATGATGTGGTGATAGCTCAGCCTCTTATGCCTACCCTGCCAGTCTGTCCAGGCTATTTATTTTTATCTTTGAATCTAGCAGTGGTTGCAATTGGAGCTGCCCCACAAACATGTGGCTTACTATGGATTGGTGTTGTGAATCAGGAAACTAATTCATTCCAAATTCACTTCTTGTCTGGCAAATTTAGCTTAATGGATGCCCTGCCAATGAGCTTTTTCTACATGAGGCATTCATTCTGGGCTATTTCCCAACTCACAGTTGGTTATGGGTTCTCTTGTGAGCCTGCAGTTTCACTTCTGTTTGTAATCAGCACTTGACAGGTTTTTTGGAGCAGGGAAAATGTGGTATTTTTTGAAGTGGAGGAAAATGGCATTTCCAATGCATATTTGTACTATTCTGCTATAATGCAATATCAGCTAGAGGCTTTATAACAAACAAGTAGGAAAAAAAACACTCCTTGACTACTGCTTGGAGCTCAGTTCTGTTATAAAACTGAAAGTAAATACACAGCCTCATGTAACAAAGTCTATTGTCTAAGCAATGGTGTCCAGAACTTTCAGTTCACAGAAACCATATCTGAACTTCATGAATATTGGGTCTGCAGGTGCATCAGTCTGTGTAAAGGTAGCAGTGGCCTTATCTGGAAGAAATGATTGACATAACCATAGAAACATGACAAATGAATGGCACCAATAATTCAAGTATATTTCCTGGTGGATATGAATACCTGTGAATTTCAACATTTTTCTATATATTATTGTGAACTGCCGTACGTATAAGAGGTCCAGCATTTAAATGTGTTGAATAGGTACCTGATGAATTCCTAGAAAAATTATAGCTGTATGCAAAAACCAACAAAATCCATCCATTGCTAACCTTTTTGGAGTATGTACTAAAGCTACAGTATATGTTCATGATTTTATTTTGTGTTTCTTTTCCAGAGTTGTTGGGCCATACTTGCTACTGTCTTGTGATATGCCGAAAAAGGATTTGTGGGTAGGGACAGCAGACCCAGATTCCACAGCAGTTGTTGGCAGTGTAGGCAGCTGTGACAGTATGATCAGTAACAATTCCAGTTCATCCGAAATGGTAAATTTACTTTCATTTATCTTTCCCATATAGTCTAGAAGGTTGAGGGAGCTTGTAATATAAAACAATGTAGCAAATTGCTAAAATCTTGAAGAAATAGAAACTTTTGACCACCATTGTAGCTTTGGGTAAAAATTTTCAGTTCAAGGTAAGACAGAATTAAAAAAAAAAGATTCAAGTGACATCTCTCAAATTACCTCTGAAATTAATGCTACGACACGATCGCCTATGTGGCAAACATCAGTCACTCTTTCCTCCAGAATGAAAAGGACAGAAGTATGAATCATGTAGCTACTCTTAATTTTCTGTAGTACTGACATGGGTGATATTAGCAAGCCTTGTTTATACTTTGTGTTCAACTATACCATCCTCTATAAAATTTTGCACATTAAGAATGCCTTCTTAATTCGGATGACAGTTTTGTTTGTGTATGTGTGTTGGGAGCAGGGAGGGTTGGTTAGAGTAGCATAGAGGAAATGGGAAGCACAGAAAAAGATCAGTTGGTGAAGAACAGCAGACTGGGAAGAATATACCAGTCAAGCTCCTTCTTCTTGGTTGGAGAGCTGTGGAGAAGAGTGGATGGCTGAGTCCCTGTCAAGGTGCAGGCGATGCAATCTCTTTAGTACGCCATGCTGAAGAATTTTGTTTGGTCTTCAGTTTTAAGCAAACTGACATAATCCTATTTTTTGGATTGATATGCAGATCAGGATGCTGTCATTTCTTTGAATTTTGCAATGCAATTTTTTGATGAAAATAATGTTTTCTCTTAAAGAAAAGACTGTGTGCAAAACATGAAAAACGTTCCTCCCCCCCCCCCCAAAAAAACCACTTTAATGCTATTTTTCATGTTTCAAATGCAGAATATAGGACTGAATTGATTTACCACTGAACATATACAAAAGGACGGGAAATAGATTGATCTATCTATCCTTACCTTAGATCTTGAATCCGCCTCCCTAGCCCAGTTCCAGCCACTATACTTCTCTTTCACAAATTCTTTCAAGAATGCTCTATAAACACATTGAACAAATTTGCACACAGTTTAATACTGTCACTCTAATGTTAGGGTGGAATAGATTCCTGCCCCTTGAATGTGTGTATCTTTATCCACTGACAATGCCTGCTTTGTTCTGTACTCAAATACTCAGACTAAGAAAAACTGCTTCCTGTCTGACGTGAGGCTTACTAGGTATGTGCTAACCACAAATTATAGTTCTGAATTGAACTTCTATTAATTCTATTGAACACTAAAGGTCAACCTGTGCATATAATTAAGGACGGCCAGAGTAGTTTCACTATCGCATGGCCTCTACCTTGCTTTCAAATTTTGTAATAAACCTGCACTTAAAAAAAAAAAGTCCCTAGATCTATTCCTGGTACATGCCATCCTTATGTATTGGACTATGGCTTTCATTATCATCAGTTAGAAGGTCAATGGCCATGCTTGTTGGGGATGATGGTAGCTGTAGTACAGCTCATCAAAAAAGTACCACTTTTGGAAAGGCTGCTCTGGAAGATGCAAGAGAGGCCTAAGGTATGCCTAGCTCTATAGCACTCCAATTATCCGTTTATGTTATACATGAGAATTCCCAAACTGAATGTGTGTGTGTTTTTAAATGTTGTTTGACACACAGGTCCAGTTCATAAATTAACCAGAGGGCTGAAAATCTTTAAACACTGAAGACCTTGTGACACTATTAATTGTTTGCATTTCAGATCATTGACCATGCCTTCAATAGTGGTGGTTGCAGAACATTAATGGGTTGTTTTTGATGGAAGGCATCCAATAGAGGTTTAAATTAATTAATCTTGATGAGAAAGATTTGGTAGTGTTTCTCGATAAATGTAACAAACAGAATCCCTGCCTATTAATTGCACACTGGGTGGAAAGTTAATGGAGATGAGATTCATTGTTCTTAACAGTAAGCTTGTATGTCTCCTTGCTCATATTGCTCAGGGTTATTTTTTTTCTCTTAAAGAGTGACAGTGGTTATGACTATCTATCAGTGGAGGAGAAAGAATGCCTTATGTTCCTTGAAGAAACATTAGATTCTTTGGACACTGAAGCAGACAGTGGACTTTCTACTGATGAGGCAGACACTACTGAACCTTCAAAGCATCCACGAACGTGGCCTACAAGAGATATTCCCAAAGGTAAGCTTGTGAAGAACCTTCTAGCTCTGGAGCACCATTCTTCTTGGTAGAAAGGTGTGTGTGTTTCGGGGGGGGGGGGGATAAAAGCAAATAAATAAGGGTGACCTGTAACAGCCATGTTCAGTTGGCCTTTCATTTTTGCCTTAAATTAAACAGAGGTGATAGAATGTAACATGGCAGACCAGCCATTGGAAAACTAGATCCATTTGCGTGGAGCCAGTCCTCTGCATGTATAACTGTACATATAAGCCTCTCTATATGTGTTCCAATAAGTACACAAAATTCCAGGGCAGGTCTTGCTCCCATGATGCAAGTCCTCTGCCACTCAGAGTACATATTCATATTGGCATGTTTGAACATCTGAAAAGGCCCTAATATGTAGTATAGTTGGACGGGGCTCATTGTTTAGGTTTGACAATCTAAACATCTCATGGTAAAAAGCAAAATAATATTTCATGTTATGATGTTGAGAAACTGAAGTCAAAACCAGTTTGTCTTTCCTCTCCCCTTTTCACTCCAATATCATAGAGTTGGCTCAAGAACATCTTGGAAAGCATACAAACATTGAACCAAAGAACAAAAAATGCATTGTTCCTGTTGCCACCTCAAAACTAGGCCATCACAGTTTCCCAAGGAACAATAGTACAAAAAATGCAATGCAGACACCCACAGTTTTCCTCACTGAAGCAAGAGGTTCTAATGCCGATGAACCAAAAGCTCTTTCTCAAATTTCCCAGAGTTCTCCTGTGCATGACATACAGAGCATACCAAATGACCAATCCAAGATGAATATCCAGTCAAGGACCTCTGATTTGGAATCTGTAGTTATTCCACCTCCTGAACCTTTCCAGGACCACAGGCAGGACCTCCACAGAAAAGGACTAGAGTCACCACCTCTTGACAAAAATGACAAAAAAGATGCTGAAAGTGGGGTGGTACCTCATTCTGAATTTAAAAAGAATGTCAATGTAGCCAAGGCACATGAGGTTGCTCCTGTCCAGCAGAAGCTTTCTTCAGAAGTCAGTCTGAAACCTGTTTCCCCTAAAAGTAACAAGAAGAGTTCTGAACAAATTATTGGTGCTGAAGAAAATCATCAAAAGCCTAATTCAATGGAAGAAGCTATCCTAGATTGCAACTTCAAGCGAGGTCCTCCCACTGCCCCCAAGCCCAGGAAACTACCACCAAATATTATTCTCAAAACCAGTAAAAGTAATGCTGTGTCACTCTGTGTGGATCCAGATCATAAGATAAAAGTGCTGACTCCAGGCATTGGTAGACCTAGAGCTGCAACTGGTGACATTTCCATGGAAAAGGCTCATTCTTTGCAAAAAGAACAAAACAGAGCCAGGAGAGAGGCTCTTGAGAAACTGGGACTCCCACTGGATAACGAAAAAGATCCATATGATCACATGACCAAAACCTCTGCTCATTCAAAACCAAGAGAGTCTTCCAGGACTAGCAGTAGAGAGAGTGTAAATACAGATGACATCACTCCTGTTAAGCAACCTGAGCAGCAGCAAGACCAAGTAGAAGGGAATGGAATCCACCCAAGGGAGATCAACAGCTCAGGTGATAAGCAGGCAAATTTCAAATCCATCACACTGGAGCGTTCAGGTGTGGGTCTGGGCAGTTATATCGCATCAGGCATTGAGCACCAGAATGTGAAGAACAGTGATTCAGTTGGCAAAATGTCCTTTTTTGATAAGATTACTCCAAGCTTTCTCAGGAGTAACCGGCCACGCCCAGCTTCCCTTGGCATGGGGAAAGACTTTGTTGATCTGAAGGGAAACAAAACATATAATGTTGAGTTGGAAAAAAATGACAAACGAAAATCTTATCCAGTTCAGCACCCCTCCAAGCTGCCCAAGCCACCTTGTGTCAGTGTGAAAATCACTCCTAAGGGAGCCACAGAGGCGCACAGAAAGGAGGCTTTGAAAAAACTTGGCCTATTGAAAGAGTAAACTGAACTGCTGGACTAATTTAAAAAATGGTGTGCTCTATTGTGGATAAAGAGTTGGCTTGCTTATGCACTCCTTTTTTAAAATGAGTGGAATTGCAATATAGATTGAGTACGTGTAGGCATTCTCAATGAGTCAAGCAGCAGTGGTTTCAGATTGTTGGCACGAGAACTAGCACCTCAGAACTAGCATCTCACCCAGACTTTGTTTTTATCTTAACTTCTGTAGAAGTGAATTAACTCAACCATTTAGGTGAGGCTTCATAGAAACCAGAAATGCCTCCACCTGTACAGGATGAGTTATGTACATAGTATACCAAGGTATGACTATATGTAATATGCACTTAACTAGAAGGGGTAAGTAGTAAATATTCAGTTGTAATTATTATGGCAAACAATGAACTCTGGATATACAAAAACTTTGTATCATGATGATAGCCATATGGCTAGAACAATGGGGCATTTTTGATCCTTTTTAAAAAATGTGGACCTGCTATAATTATGGTGTAAACACTGAAGCCAGTGAAACCAGCAGGCCTTGTACAGCTCCCAGGATGATCCATTTGCTGCATATTTAATAAATTGCCAAGACTGCATTGGGTATGATTCTTAAGCCTCCACTTGGGAAAAATGAAGTACATTTCCCCTCTAATGTGGATTCAAAATGTTGGCTGATTTTTTTAAAAACCTAGAATCAACATTGAATTTGTTCCAGTTTAGCTTGGTGTCCCTGATTTATGTGAACAAATAGTGGTTGCATGTTGTTTAAAATCATGCAAAATTTTTAAAATAAAAAGTGTGTGCTTTAAAAAGACTAAGTAATAAACTATTTTATATGGAAAATGTTTGGATTATATTTGCTTAGTGAGACATCCTATTGTAAGAGAGAAGAAGGGTAGATTGGGGGTCCTGGTTTGTAGGAAGTGCAAATATTAACCATGATGTTCTTCACAATAAATTTAATTATATCAAGGCACTGCAATCTAAATGATGTAGCAATGAGGTAGCACCATAATACTAGATGTAGCAGTAGTTTTTAATTTCTTCCTTCAAGGAACCTTTTGTTATTTTACTCATTTGTTGATGAACTTATGCAGAGTAAATGTGTAGGTTGAGAGCCAGTGTGATACAGTGGTTAAGGGTGCAGGATTGGGACTGAGGAGATCTGGGTTCTAGTCCTCACGTAGCCATGGAACTCACTGGGTGACTTTGGGCCAGTCACAGACTCTCAGCCCAACCTATCTCACACGGTTGTTGCTGTGGGGATAAGACTGAGAGCAGGATGAGAATTATGTAAGCTGCCTTGAGTTCCTTGAAAGGAAAAAAAGTGGGATATAAATATAATAAAGAAAAAGAAATGTCAAGCTTTAATTCAGATGTTCATAAATGTAGGTATGGTCTAGGCTTTTCATTTAATTCATTCATTTAACAGTGAATTTTGGCAAACCTATTCAGCATACTCACATTAAAAGAGTAGAACCTGGAAAATACCTGATATACTCTTAAATATAGCAGAAATTTATTAATCATGGAAGCTTGTCTGCTAATTCTGGCTTCTAACTAAAAGGCTCCTACTAAGATATGGAATAACTTTAAGAATTATTTGTAATATGGTTTAAGGACAATTGTACCATAAAACAGACATGACTTTGTCTGTCTTCTCAGCAGGTCTTCAGTTTATGGAGACAGGTGCAGGGGAGGATGGATTTGGTTTCTGTTTGAAGCTAGCCAGGCTGCCATTTATCAGAGCCACCTGCAATGAAGGAGCATGCAAGGTTAAACATTAATGCAGTAGCACTCAAAATGATTAACTAATGTAAAAAGCCACAAAAATGTTTGCAATAGCAGTGCTTGCCTATTCTCTTCTCCTGCACCCCATACCTTTTCCTAACATATAGAATAGAGATAGGTTATATAGGAGGTTAGAGGGAAAGGAAATACTCTCTTCTCTTAGTTCAATGCTACGTATTGGACTTTAAGCCTAATTTTTAATCATTAGCAATGATCTAAAATCTCATCTTTGTATTCTTGGCTGTATTCAAAATTCCTAACTTGATCACTGTGTGAACACAATACTAGGCTAGATGTAAATTGGTCTAATCTAGCATGGCAGTTTTTATATTCTCAATTTATATACTTTGTATATATATTCTCAATTTATATACTTTGTATACTTTATATACTTCGACAAGTTCCACAAGTAGCTGCTTACAGCATGACCAGACTTATAGCATTCCTGTACTTTGAATGGTATACTTTGGATGATGGTCACTTGTGGCTAACAAGTTCAGAGTTGAGTTACAGTTCAATTAAGACACAGATGCACATGCACACGATGGTATCCTAGCTCTCCTAGGACTGATATTTTTGGGTTCATACTGTGAGGTAGTAAATCAAGGTCATGATCATTTCCTAGTACAAATATGAGCAAATGTTTTATAACTGACTCTTGAAGATAGAATTATAGGGAATTTCTCGTGGAAACTGTGGGGGTAGATACTTCCCAGCGTCCATGTGCTTCAAATATTCACTTGCATGTATGATAGCATTCCTTGTGCCTGCTCAGAAATAGATCAGATTACTTCAGTTCCCAGGATACTAATTTAATTGATATTAGTTCTCTTGTCTGAATTATATTTTCAATTCCATTCTGTCTTGCTATTCAAAAACAAGTGCAAATAATTGATGAATGACAATTTCTGATGCTGAAGGAAGTAAAAATCTAGCTTAGAATGAAACTTTGGGTGTGACTTCTGTAAAGTAATTGACACCACAATCCTAAAGTAAACATGAAGAGAAGTCTTTGTTGATTTTCACTGAATGTCACTGATTCTGTTTCCGTATATTTTCTTCTGTTTAATTTATATAGTTCGTTGCAGATATTTAACAAACAGAATTTTACTATTGTCTTAGCTTAGGAAGTTTCTTAATAATTTAAGACACTGTAAATTGAATATAATAAATATTTTTGCCCCTACTCTCCTCAGAAATGATGTGATGTTCTTTGTAGTGATGTTACTACATTTCATTAGTTTGTTGAAAAACTTATTGAAAGTGTATGATTTGGACAAAAACGTTACAGCACTTGCATCCATGGGCAATTTTTTTCAATGGTAAGGATGAAAATATAGTATTGGAAAGTAAAGTATTGATAAACAATCTGTAACATACAGATGCATGTTTTTCATTAGGAACATAGGATATTACCCTATACCTAGCTCATCATGACACTGGCTCAGATAGAGGGTTTCAGGTGGAAGTCTTTCTTAGCTCTACCTGGAGACTTGAACCTGGGAGCTTTTGCTGAACTCTGGAACTTCCAAAGGGGACATTCCATCAAGGCAGAGCTAATGGCTGGAGCTTCAAGTTCAATTTCCTTTTGCCTAATGGCTGGAACTTCAAGTTCAATTTCACTGTATCCTTTTCAACTCTATACAGGGTTTTCCCTTCTGGGATTAAAGCTATTTGTGGAAAAGAGAGGAACTGGCATTCTTTATTTCTCCCTCACATCCTTGGAATATCACTGAAAAGGATTGGGCCTTGTTAATTTAATGCAAGGATGGAAAGAATGTAGATCTCTAGACATTTTGGACTATAATTTCCAGTATTCCCGACTGTTGGCCATGCTGGTAGGGGCTTCTGGGAATCTCCCTTCTGTTCACCCCTAGTTTAAAGCACCACAGGGCACAACAATGAATCCATGCAGCCTTGATGTGCAACATCCATGTTTATTCATGGGTGTGCTTGCACGAATCTCTCATTTTGCAAATAATAAGTGGTATGAGTCTGCTTCCACATCCAAAGCAACCTCTTGGATTGGGGGGAAAACTCTGCTGAATTTGCTTCTGACTCCCCCTTCCACTCTTTTCCTTTAGTGACTCCAGTAAGTGACTGAACTGTATATCCTTTTGCTCGGTGGCTCTTAATGGGAAAATTACCTCTCTGATTTATTTTGCATCCTTTCCCTCACCCTTTCATATTTACTCCAGAAAAAAATAGACAGAGAATAATTAATCAAGTCCACAAGGAGTAGCAGCAGCCAGTCATGGAGTTTGGGTTGTGACAGGCCCATGCATGTGGCCTTCTAGCACAGGGGATCTGTTTAACAGGGCTGGGTTTGTTCTTGGCACAGCTGTGATCTTATGCAACATATGCCTGCTGTAAGCACAAGGTCACTGGAAAGTATGCATAACACTCCAGCTGATCATTACTAGGGCCATCCTTGTGGTCTGGGAAAACAGACCTTCTCTAGCCTGACCTCCTGCACTTCATAGGAAAGAATTCCTAACTTTCCTGGATGAAGCAGTTCTCTGGAGCAACAGAGAGGCGAACAAGTCAGAAAGAAAATGCAAGGGGTAGCTAATGGGAGCATAGGGTGTGTTACGTGAACTAGCAGGTGAGGAGCAAGTGGAAACAGCAAGGTTGGGCCCCAGTCAGAAGGCTTTGCTTTGCTGGTTTTAACCTGCACTTTCTACCCTTATATCACTTTATATATATATTCTTTAAAAGTCCCTGCCATATCTATCTTTCTCTACGTATCTGGTGCCAGCCACACATTCGTTTCCACAGAGATTTCGCTGCTTCACCTTTCCTTTCCAGATCAATGTGTGGATCAGATTGAGCTCCTATCTCTTTTTCTGTCTGTTAGGGAAAGACCTTTGTAACCCAGTTGATCTGACTACTATTTTTAAAAAATAAGGGTGTCAGTCCTATCAGCATCAGATTGTCTGAATACCTTTTATGCAAGATTTCTGGAACCTTTAGTATTACATGTGAAAATGATGGGAAACTCCAGTAGAATGAGATAAGGCTAAATATTAACAGTCATTATTGACTTTGTGGAATGAATGTATCTGAGGTTAAGCAATTACTAACAGTGGCGAAATGAGCACTGCACTCTAGAATGGACATTTCACCTGCAGGAGTGTGTTCAGAGACAGGTGCTTTGCAACAGCATTCTCTCTCTCTCTCCCCCCCCCAACACCCCCCCACACACACACAGAGAGAGAGAGAGGTGGGAAATAGCCACTGTCTGAAGTTTGAACTTTGACAGGAAGAGATTAATATGAGAGAGATTCTAGCTCAGAAGTGTGAAACCTCCCAAAGCTTTTGGATAGCATTTTCCATAATCTTTGAATAGTGGCCATGCTGCTGAAGCTGATGGGAGTTGAAGGCTTCCCTGTTTAGAATGAAGTTCACAGGGAAAATGCCAACAGTGTGGATTTTTTTCTTATTTAGCAATATGTATTTTTTCTGAAAGTAGTGAAGACATGCAAAACTATTTCCTTCACGCAAAGCAATAGAGTGCCATATAAAAATGCATACAAAGGTTTTGTTTCATTTTATTTAATTCTTTGTGTATTCTCTACGGATGAGGTGATGGAATTAATACAGGATTCTCAAATAAACATTTTGAAAATAAGGTGTATTGCAAAGCTTTGTCACGTTATTTTCCATGGTTCTATGGAACCCAGTCTTCATATACAACTCTGCTAATGGTCAATGGCATGTATTGGTTTAACTATGTGTATTGTATTATTTGGTTTTCTGTTCTTAATTTGACACCAATGGAGATATTCTTTTTAAAGATCCCCCTCTGTGGGTTAATTTCAGGAAAAAGAAAACTTTAACCCTCTTCTTCCAGAGCAATGCCTGAACTGGGGCTCTACTCACTTGTGTTGTTAGGTTTTATCAGGTCATCTCTGACTTATGGCAACCCTATGAAAGAAAGCCCTTCCAAATGTCCTATTGATGGCAGCCTTGGCCAGCTCTTTTAAAAACAAGGCTGCAGCCTCCTTTATTATGGAATTAACCCATCACATATTTGATCTTTTCTTCTTCTG